CAAACCCCCCAGCCACACCCCACATATCCACACAAACCCACATGCTCCCTCACCCCACACACCTATCCACCCCCTACATACCCTCACCCACAGCCTCCCTCACATACCCACACACACACAGCCCCCCACAAAACCTATACCCACCCCATCATCCCCCCACAGTATACAAGAGAAAGACTTAATTTTAAGCTATTGTTCAATCACCTCTATGTGCACTACACAAACACATGTAAATCAGGACAAAAATATTTTTGAAGTCAAATTAATGTTGTAAATGTTTGATTTTTAGAATATAATTAGGTGTTTTTCTGGTTCTGAGATGGCAAAGGTTGTGAGGTGCCCCCTTGCAAAGGGAGGGGCTTCCAGTGGCAAAAGTTGGGGGTTAGAGGGTGAGACTTCCAGTCCCAAGATGGTGACCATTGGGCGGGGTACCTGTCAAGGGGCAGTGCTACCCATGTGGCCCTCAACAGCTCGCCAAAACTCAGTAAGCAGACCTCCACCCAAAAGAATTGCCCGCCCGTGGTCTAGAATGTTTTCACATGCTGTCTGACACCTGGAGAGGAACTAGGAGGGAAGAAGGCTTAGCCATTTCCAGGGTACGTCTACCCTGCCATCATGGGAAGTTGTCGCCTCCCTTTGATCTAGCTAGCTGGGGCACCAACGGTAGCCCAGCTGAAGAGGCACAGGATCCAGTGAGGGCTGTGCAAGCATACTTGGCTCCTTGGGCTCATGCCTAGACTGTGAGCTTGCTGTGAAGTCTATGCTGCTACTTTACCTTCACTCCTCTTGGCACCTAAGCTTGCTAGGTTAAAGCTAGTGGGGGTGTGCCGATGCACTGCAGGCTGAAGTCACACCTCTGACTGCAGTGTAGGTGCATTCCTCAGCTGGATGCAACTAGGACTGGTGAAGAATAAAGAGGGGGCAGGGATGGAGCCATTTAATAAGAGGCAGGTGAGGAAGATGCAATGAGGATGTGATAATAAAAGTTATTTTTAGCTAATTCCATCCTTTGATTCCAGGCAACCCTGGTGGTGTTAACAGGGATGTTCCCAGCAGGATGGTCGTTCTAGGTTCCCTTTCCTGGCCTCTTCCACTGCTGATGAAGCTGTGTAGCGACGGACAAAGCAACATTCACACAAACTGTTTTTGCTATGTTCTCTCCTCTCTCCAGGGTGGACCCGTGGGAGTGCTATCAGGACACCTGGCAGACTACATGCAGCGTGCTGGAACACCACCGTGATCTGATGAAGGTAAGTCGTATCTGCGGTCTGCAGAGGGGTAGGTGTGAACAGAAGAGGAGGTGATGCCAGAAAATGTTTAGGACCATGCATATTTGCTGTGTGGCTTTAGTGTCATGGGGATGTGTCCTGATAGCAGCTTGGATTCAAAGCAAGAGGCATTTTCATCAGTGTGGTTATGTATAGTCAGCAATAGCCCTTACAGGCAACTGGTTTCATTCTGTATCAGGCTGAGTCCATTACACCACTGCCATATATATTTCGTGGGCCAATCCTGAGCTGGGATAAAACAGCAGCATTCCATTGAAGCCCAAGGGCTTATACTGATTTACCTCAGCTGAGGTTCAGGGCTAGTATGAGTACGTGACTTATAATATTGCACATGTGCTTAGCCCAGCTCTCTGATAAAAGAACTCAGTCTTCTAGGACTGGGTGCTCATGTCATCCTCTGACAGCAAAGTACAAGCCCAGATTGCAGCAAATGATCCAGCCTGATCAATATACACACACAGTACAAAACCGATCAAATCGCCAGCGGGCAGGAGAAAATGAAAATCCAATGCTCCTGCTCCTCTAAAAAATAATTGCTCAAAGGATTCCAAACAGTTATAGAAATTACCTGGTTACTAAAAATAGCAAACTAGGAAATGCTACCAGTGCCCAAATAGCAGCAGCCTTCAACTGGAGACACTTCTTAGTCCTGACCCAGATGAATCATTCATAGGACACTTGTAATAACTAGTCTGGAGTAAGTGTAATGTGTTCAGGAACATCAAATCCTTCATCTCTGCAGAGGATTGGAGAGGATGACACTTGAAGATGATGCCAACTCGATGTGAGAAGGGCAAGCTCGGAGCTAACCAAATGCTGACATTACAAGCCTTATAAGCAGTCCAGGAAAAAAGACAATGTTTACAAAACAAGTGAAAGATGCACTGCTTACTTACCCAATAGCCCCACAAACCCAAACCTGCTACACTGGCCCAAAAGAATGACTCACATCTGAGAGCCTCTTCAATGCTAGGAAAGCATCAAAGAACAAAAGACCTAATCCAGGAAGAAAAGTCCCTCCACATGCCCAGCCAGAGCTGAGAAAGAAGACCACAAACCTTGAAGAAATGAGACTTCCTGCCACCTTTGAAGCAAATGGTTTCAGACCAGCATCCTACACTCCAATGTCTGCAACAGGGGAAGAGTTGGTGAAGCCAAGGTGTCATCAAGACCTAGAATGAAGGGGACAAAATGGGCAGGTGTGGATTGGGAAGAGGGACTCCCCAACAAAACCAACAAAGCTGATTAAAAAAACAAGAAGTTTTGGCCTGCTACTTGCCTCTTAAGTACCAGGCAGGACTGATTTGAAGGCATCATGGCAGGGGGCAGGTTTGGAGGAGGACTGTGAGAGAGAAGGTGGCAGCTTTAGCAATTTTGATGAAAAGCAGGAAAGGAGAAAGTTTGGAGGAGCTTGAAGAAAAAGGGGGAAGTTGGGTGATTGGCTAATAGCCATGATAGATGGGGGCCAAATGAAGAAGTGTGTAAAAGCATGGGTGCCAAAGATACAGCTTGTGGGCCAGATCCAGCCCATAGAGCCTTATCGTTTAGCCTGCTGTGCTACCCAGGGGTCTTGGACTGACCTGCACACCACATGTGGCATGTGCTGGGGCCCAACTCCATGCAGTGCTGGATCTGGCATACCTGTGGTACACCAGGCTGGATCCAGAGATCTCACAATGTCCCACGCTGGACCAACCCTGCATGCTGGATCCAGTATGTGGGGCCAGTCTCTGGGCCTAATCTGGCTTGCACACCAGCTCCATGCCACTCCTCCAGCCTGTGGATTGGCTTGATGCCACTGATCCAGCCCGCTGGCCCTGATGAATTTGACACCTCTGCCCTAAAGTAAAAACAAGTTGGTCATAGGGGCCAGAAGATTCATAGATTGCAAGGCTGGAAGTGACCCAAGTGATCATTGGCTCCAGCCCCCTGCACCAAGCAGGAAAAACACCTGGGGTCAGGTGACCCCAGCAAGGTGACCGTCCAGTCTCTGCTTGAAGATCTCCAGGGTAGGCGATTGCACCACCTCTAGAGGAAGCTTATTACAGTCTGGACACCCCGACTATGAAGAAGTTTTTCCTAAGGTTGAGCCTAAATCCATCTTCCAGGAGTTTGTAGCCATTATTCCTGATTTTCCCCTTGGGTGCCCTGGTGAACAGTAGCTCCCTGAGCCCTTGATGTACACCCCCAGTGCTGTGGTAAACTGCTGCCAGGTCCCCTCTCAGCCTTCTTTTCTTCAGGCTGAAGAGTCCCAGGTCTCTCAGCCTTTCCTCATATGGCTTGCCCTTTAAGACTCTGATCATATGGATGGCTCTTTGGACTCTCTGAAGTTTGTCCATGTCCTCGTTAAAGCGTGTTGCCCAGAACTGGATGCAGTACTCCAGCTGTGGTCTCACCAGTGCTAAGTACTGCGGAAGAATCACCTCCTTGGCTTTGCTGGAGATTCACTGATTGATGCATGCCAGAGTATTATTTGCCCTACTGGCCACACATTGCACTGCCAGCTCACATTCATACTGTGGTCTGTTGTTACCCCCAGGTCCTTTTCATTCATGGTGCTAGTCAGTTTGGTACCGCCAAACCTGTAGGTGTGTTGGGGGTTGCTGATCCCAAGGTGGAGCACTTTACATTTCTCAACATTGAACTTCATCAGGTTCTGATCTGCCCAACGTGCCAGCCTGTCTAGGTCCACCTGTAACTGTAGCCTATCTTAAAGTGTGACCATGCTCTCCCATAACTTGGTGTCATCTGCAAACTTGGCCAGTGAGCTCTTCACCCCATCCAAATCATTAACCAAGATGTTGAAAAGTACTGGACCGAGCACTGACCCCTGCGGGACACACTGGCCACTTCTCACTAGGATGACACAGACCTGTTCACTATGACTCTCTGGGTCTTATCCTGCAGACAGTCAGGTGGGTGAGAAACTGTCTCAGAGTTAAGCCCACAATCCTCCAAGAGGGACACAAAGATTGAGCTGAGGTGGTAAGAAAGGAAGATGGCCTCAGTTGCTGCATTTTAACTAGACCCAAGGAGAGGAAGCAAGCATTTATGCACCAAAGCCAGAAAGATGCAGACTATGGGAATGGAAGTGCAAGATGATGAGGGCCTGCATGAAAGTCCTGCCAGCTTAGACGAGCACTGAAAGCCAAGCAGCAGGTGTCTCATGTGATGATGCTTCATGGTGCTACTCCCAGCCACCCCAGCCCTTCCTCTGCAAAGCTGACTAGAGGAAGGAATGCCAGAGCCCCACCAGCAGTGTTGTCACCTTGAGAGAACAACTTGGGGAACAAGGCAAGTATTTCTGAGCAACTTCAGATCCACCTTCTGCCCAGGTGAAATTTTATGACAGCTCCAGGTCCTTTGAAGGGAAGCAGGTGGAGTCAGTCCCTCAGGAGACCAGAAGAAAGGGCTTATAGTGAGAGTGTAGGATGGATCAGGACAGCAGCTGCACAGCACTGGAAAGGTAGATTCCTCCCTCTCCCTAACTGCATTAGCATTCGTTTAAAGCTGTTAGCTCACAGGGCAGAAGCCACTACAAAACTCTGCAATTAATTAGGTCCCGTCTGCTTGCTTCTTGCCTCCAGTCAGAGGCGAGTGGAAGGAAGGAGGTGGAGGGACCGATTCAGGAAGTAGTGGGATTTGATACAAGAGCTGAAAACTCTTATATCATTATACCATAATTCTCCCCTAGGATGCAGCAAATTATCAACTTAAGGGTGTCAGATCCTGACTAAGGTGTAGGGGCTGGAGCCTTGGAGAAAATTTGACAACCTGCAGCTCTGAAATATAATAGGGTGGGGGGACTCTGTTTGGACAGGTGCAGCTACCACACCACAGAGGCTTGCTCTGTCACATCAAGAGCTAGCTCTCCTCTGCAGCTCAGGATTGCTTCCTGAAAGGGAAGTTCAGGGCTCAGAAGAAAGACAGGTCACATGATAAGGGACTGGCTGCAATCAGGTACTGCAACATGGACTGAAATGCACTATCATCTAGCAGCTGTTCAGTGGCCCACGTGAAATGACACTGGAGAACTCAGCCAAGCTCCTGTGGGCAGGTGGCTGCTTTACAAAGCCCAGCACCAATTAGCACTAATTGGAAACCATTTTAGCCTACTCTGCAGAGTCACAAAAATGGAACAGATCACAAAGACTTTCCTTCTCTGTCACCCCAGAGATGGGTGCCTTAGACAATCTGATGACAGACAAAACCATCCTCAACAAGCACTCACTGGAACCTGTTTTAACAGACTTAGCACAGTGGGCCACTGAATGACCCCCTGTGGCATAGAAGGGGAACACACTGTTTGGCAGTGGGGGCTCAGCTCATAGCTTCTCCCTCTGCCAGATCCCTATTCTTTCATATCCAGGATTGTCTAGCTGGCACAAAATTCATGATAGAGGACATTTGAATGGGGGTTTTGTAAGCTTAAAAGAACACTGGAGGGAAAAAAAAACAAACTAGAGCTTCCAGGAAAAAAACAACAACCTGCAAGTAAAATTGTAATGTATAAAATCAGTCCTGAAAACTGTCTGAACATTTCCCAGTCTAGGCACAAAAACCTGCTCATCTACCTTTACTATGATTGACAATAATGGAAAAAACTGCTGATATTTGACTTGCCTGTCAACACATTACTCAGCTCTTGTGAGGGGGCGAGGAGAATGTTGCAAAGCTGATAGAAAATCTGTGAGTGCGTGGACAGAAGTCATATCTAGGTGTAACGGCATCTCCCTTCGTGCTTAGCATTGGCCTTCATCTTACACCCAAAAACGCAAGAGAGAAATGCTTATTGATTTATCTTGAGAGTACAGGCAGCCAGCAACTGTGTGGGGCTAAACTAGAAAGGAAGTTTGTGTTGGTGTTTTATTAAAACCAAGGTTTGGGGCTGTCTTCTCAAAGTGGTTATGTACAGATCAAGCTATTCCCACACCACACGCATCACAAGTAGGTGAGTGCTGTACTTATGGAGGCACTTAGTGGACACATTCTTTCTGGGGGCCTAAGACTGACTCAATTTGTGCATGATCATTGGGTAATTAGATAATCAAACTACTTTGTACATATGCGGATTCTTTTGCCTGGGAAACCTAATGATTTCAACATGAAAAATACTGGATGAGTGGACTTGTGGATGTAAATTTAGAGGACTTTTTAAAAAATGTGCCCCTTCTTCTAAAAGGTAGAATTAGTTACAGTTTTCATTGCAGTTGGTTGTATTATGTAACAATAGGATTGCAAATCAGACTGCTCATGTATGACACCTAGCATAGCCAATGCTGATGGGTGGGGAACACACTCTTAAGCTTAGATGTCCTGTGACAATTTCAGCTCTTGGGCAACTCCACCACTTCGGTGGAGTCAGTACAAGTCAAATTGGAAAGCCAACAGGTTTGCAGCAGATTAATCTGGTCTCTTGTGTCTTCCTCCCACTCCTTCCTTCCTTTTTTTCCCACTTTCATTTCTCAAAAGTAAGGCACATTCTGATATTGAAAAATAACATTGCTTTGTACTGCATTGCTGTTGCACTGTTCAACAGACTGGAGTGCACAATGGACAGATGCAGCTTTATCAGCACCTCTTTCAGTACAACAGGGCTAGCTAACCAACTTGTGAGTGGCTAAGGGCTGCATGTTCCCTATGATGCATACCAAATATACCACATGCCATGCCCCTCACTGCACTACACAGGCACTCCTACACTGTGGGGTCCCTTGGCCCTTTGGGCTGCCCCATCCCACCCTCACGGGGGGCAGAGGTAGGACGAAGCAGCTGGGTGAGGAAGGGCAAGCCTAGAAACCTTGGCAGCAACAGCAAGAGAGTGATGGAGGGAGAGGGTCTCAGACTAGGAGCTTAGGGCTGAGAGTCAACCCCTCATGGTCCATGGATCCCCACTTGGACAGCCCTGCTTTACAACACAGTTGTTACCCATAGGACCATAAAGCTAAGTGCTCTGGCTTCTTTGCCATTCATTAGGTCACATGGCCCTTCTCTTTCCACTGGTTGAGAGTGAGTCTTGAAATGAGACTGACTGTGTCTCATGCTAAAAATGAAATTAATTCATGGGCTGTGGGGCCAGCTATGCAGCGAGACAGAGAGAGAGGTCTGTAGATCTGTGGATGGTTTTCTAGCTTTAAAGAAGTTGCATTATTGACTCCTGGCATTTTTTCTCCATCCTAGCGAGTGACTGGCTGCATCCTCTCCAATGTGAACACACCTTCCATGACACCAGTGATTGGACAGCCCCAGAATGAGTCTCCACAGCCCATCTATCAGAACAACAACATTTCCAACAAGCCTACTGCAGGTAGGCCTCGGGAGAGACTTCTTGAAAGGGGGAGCGAGGAAAGCCATTGCAGTGTCCCCCTCAAAAACTAAAACTTGTTCCCCAGAGACTGGGGAGAAGAACAAGTGTAAGAGACTATATCCAAGAAACAAGAGTGAAGGTTTGGAGTCACTGAAGTTGTGCAGAGTCCCAAAATGTATCATAAGGGTGAACTGAGATTCTAAGTTAATGCAAATCACCAAATCTGGGGCTCAGGTTTGGATGCGAGAAGACCTATCTTTGACTGAATCCTTTAATTATCTTTTGGACCTTTTAAGTCTTATTTCTGTCTTCCTGCAGTCTGTATTTTTGGTGGAGTTCTAGTGGGGATGAGTTTGTGCCATGTGAGGGTCGCTTACCTTTACTACAATCTCTCAGAGCATCAGCCTCACTGGAAGCTAAAAAGGGACTTAGTTCCTTCACTCTTCATATCTGGTTGCTGAGCAGAGTTTGAATTAGAAAGTTGCATTTCACTTTAGCCCTCAACTTAAATTTATCCTCTGCCGAGGCATAAAGTTTACCCACTTCAAATACAAGATTTTCACACATCACTTCTTCCAAGCCTCCAAATTGTCAGACTCACCGACCATATTAACTTCCTGTTAATCAGATATGGAGTTTTTCTTATCAATGGCACTATTTCAGATAGAAAACATGGGAGTCATCACATGATGCCCCCTGATCACTGTTTGAGAGAGGAGGACTCTGTAAAATGAACTGATGATTTCAGTTCAGCTTTAAGTGAGCACAGGGCAACTGGCATTAATTAGCAAAGTGAACAAGGATCAAATGGGCCATGGAGACTGACCTGCCCTCTATAGCCACGCATGGTCTCTTCAAATTAAGTTTAAAGGCTCATGGCAGGGCCATGGGAGGAATCTGCACTGCCAATGACTGTGCAGCAGCTGTTTTGTGAGCAAATAAAGGACCTACAATTTCATTAGCTGTTACAGTGGCAATGATCCTGATGAAAAGGTATCTTATTTTCTGCAAGTCTACAGACACACACTAAGGACATGATTTTACATACAGCAGGCCACCTGAGGTCATTATTCCCTTTCTGTGTGCAACCTTGGAAATTCCAGGTGCCTTTCCAAGCACATTCTGCTCAGGTTACTGGTTTAAAAATCTGCATTGGATAAAATTAGAGTTTTAAGCAGAATCTGAAATCAAGAAACAGAACAAGAGTTTTCAGAGTTCAGGGCTATGGTGGAGAAACCAGCATGAGTGGCACTTTCAGCAGGTTACTGGGCAGGAGCCTTTACATAAGTTTTTGGGCCCTTTCAGAAACAAGATGGGGAAAAAGGCTCTTTCAAGTGGCCTTTTAAAATGAATATTTTAAATGAGTTGAATGGAAATAAGGCTTTATGTGACTCTTGAGTCCATCAGGGCTGGTAGAAGGAATGCAGAAGCTGGAGATGAGCCAAATGATTTCAGAGCTCAGCCAGCAGAGAAGACCATTGATTTCTGTGGACTGAGTTCAGTGCCCTGTATAGAAACACCAGTCAGTCTTATGCAGTGAAAAAAATGTTACACCAAGATCTCAGACTCCATGCCAGCATCTTACCTGTTTCTTTCTCTCTTTTTAGTGAAGATCTTGGGGAAAGTGGGAGAAAGCCTGAGCAGGATTTGCTGTGTTCGCCCACCAATGGAGCACTTCACATTTGTGGGTATGCTGTCAAAATACAGATCCTTGCATTCATCTGTGAGCCTGCCCCAACAGCTCTGCTTTTCCATCCAGGGATAGACCTGCAGCTGACATCAAGCAGGCAGTAGTAATGACATCAATGTTATTCTGATTTATACCAGCTAAGGAGCTGGCCCCCAGCACTGTCTCAGACAGTGTCTTGCAAGTTGTCACAGAGATTATCCAGGGGGAAGCAGTACATACACAACCCCCCCCACCTTCCTATTTTCCTGACCTCTCCCACTCTCCTGTTATATTTCACCTGGAGCTCCCTGTGATGAGAAGCATTAGCTTAACCAGCAGCTTCTGCCCTGTTTCAGCCTGGCAACACAGGGTGAAAAGGCATAGCAACAACTATTGCCTTGCTCTTTCTTGAGTTTATCTAGATTCAGAGTAATCCAAAAAGGGGGAGAATCCATGTCCCACATACAAGTCCTCGGGCACACCATCTCCAAACATGAAAGGAAAATCTAAAGGGACTTTGGATGCACAGGCATGAAAGCCAGACAGCTAGGTACTCTGACCTCCCACACCATGCAGGCCACAAAACCTCACCCAGCAATTTCCCCGCTGGGTTCAGTAACAGGGATGAC